GCCGCCTCTGCGCGAGCCCCACGCTTTGCCTGCGGCTCCCAGCCGGGAAGCCCCACGGCCCCGCGCCCCGCTGCATGCCGGAGCTGCCCCTTTCGCCCCGGCTGCCAGGCTCTCACCTGTGCGGTCGGAAAGGTATTTGCTGTGTGCATCCTGAAGCCTCTTTATGCAGTCAGAGGCTGCCAACGTCCTGGACAGGAGGTAATCTGCAGGCACACAAGAGACAGGACTCCAAGACGGGGAACAGGCATCCCTGTACAGAGCACAGCCCCATTGCACAGCCGGGCTGTCCTGCCTGCAGCTGGGGATGCTGCCGGCTACGAGGCACAGGGCACCGTGCTCCCCAGCCGGCCACCCGCACCAGCTGGATGTTGGAGGAAATCAGGACTCACCTGCTGAGCTTGTGCAGCTGATGTGAGTAGGGTCTTCGAGGCGGCTGAGGGAGTCCTGCACCATCCGCTCTGCCTCCTGCGCAGTGCCCTGCAGCAGGGCAAACTGCTCCTCGCTGAGGCGCTGCTGCAGGGCCTGTTCCACGCTCTCCTGCAGAGCCAGCATGGGGATCAGGGCCCTGGCCAGTTAGTGCAACCCCCTGATGCCCCACTGCTGCTTCCAGCTCTCATTGATTGCCAAAGACCCACAGTGGGTCTCAACACAGAGGAAGGCTTTGCACTGCTCTACCACAGCCCAAGTGGCCAGCTGAGCAGGACTCAAACAGCCACGTGCCGTGGAGCACAGCTCCTTGCGTGGCTCCTCTCGGCATGGCCGGAGCAGCCCTTGGGCTCCGGCATGCTGCTGGGATGCTGGGCAATGCCAGGATGCCCCAGTGTTGGTGCTGGCTGCGCCAGCATGCCACGTCGGGGTACCTTGTCTTTCAGCTGGGTCTGCAGCGTCTCCAGCACCTTTTTGCTGCTCTCCTTCTCACTGCTGAGCGTGTCCCGCAGCTGCTGAAGCTCAGCCCGCAGGGCTGCCATCTCCTCACAGTGCTGCTCTGCCGCTTGGCTCAGGCTGTTCCTCTCCTGCTCCAGGCCCGCTATCCTGGTGCTCTGCTCTACTCCCAGCTGGACAGGCACAAAACAGATATAGAGCTTTGCTGAGGGCATGACAGGGAAGAGACAAACCCTTGCATTTGGGGAACTGCAAATTCCCTGATGGTGTGGACACCATCATGGCTCGTTCTAGGCCAAGGCCTTGTCTGCTCCTACCATCCCTGCTCGATGTGTCACAGCCTGCAAAGCCGAGGCCAGGTCGCAGCCCTACATCCGCTGTGTCCAGGCAACCTCCCAGCAACCTCACAGGACACGACGGCCTTGCGTGGGACCAGCCGAGGCTCCCTGGAGTTGCCATTTTGCTTTTATTGGCTGATGACTGATACGTGAGTGCAGCTGGTGTGGGTGAAGGGTGCTGGCTGCCAGCTCTGGAGCTGGCTCTGCCCTGAGCATGTCCTGCTGCAGCCTGTATGTCGGCCCCTGGGGAAGGACAGCTCCTGCCAGTTCCTGATGCACCAACCTCTATAATGAGCCTGGAAAAAGCCCTGCAGTCCTACACAGCAAAGGACCACATCTTCATGGGCTTGACAGACCCTCTGGCACGACTATCAGTCCATAAAGAGACCGGTAACACAAGCCGCACGTTGCCTGCCAGTTTTACAGCAGGGCAGAGCCACCCTGTCTGACTCCTACCTTTCACCACTGGCAATTTCGTTCAGTGATTCCTGCCTCGCTCAAGCGAGAGCAAATCTTTTGGCTTCTCCATCAGGATGGGCAGTTTTACAGCACAGACACGGTGGTGACAGTCGCCTGCTTTCTGCATAGCTGCTGGGTCTGGGGCAGGCTGTGGGGAGACAGCCAGCCTCCAGGGCTGTCTGCACTGAACTACAGAGTGCTGCAAGCCCTGAGGGGCTCCCAGGTCCCATCCCCGCTGCCCTCGGCAAGTCCTGCCACTCCAGCTGGGTGATTTGCTACAGCTGGGGAATACTGCTTTGTGCTTGCTCACATCTGGGAGTGTTAAACCTCACAGCTGATCGCTAAAACCACGGGGATCTGGAAATGATGAAGCAAGCAAGTTGGTTATCAAGCTGATGGCATCTTGATGGGTAACGCTTTGTCTTTTCTAACTGCCACAAAGGCCACCCCTTTGTCTGGGCGTTCTGGACAGGGCTGAATGCCCCCAGCTCAACCTGAGTGCAAGCGGAGAGGATCCAGCCCTTACACCAAGGCAATCAGAACAGGGCTGCCAGTGCCGGGACGGATGCAGAGGCAGTGAGGCCGTGGGAGGATGGCGGGCCCAGCACCGGGGCAGCCCAAGAGGCTGAGAGGAAGCGCTCTCACCTGTGTGCTGGACTCCAGCGCCCCTTGAAGGGCCTGCAACTCCTGCTTGCTGGCTGCCAGCTCCCGCTTTAACGTTTCTAAGACTTCAGTTTGCTCCTGAGACTGCAGGCAGAACAAAGTGGTCCTGAGTTGGCAGCCCGCAGGGGTGCTGGCCCCGATTACTAGTCAAGCATCCTCCCAAGCACGCCTGCCCCTTGCCTTGTGGTTCCCCAACCCTCTGCCCTCCTCCCTCGCAGCCCTCCGAGCACGGGGCTTCAGCCCAGTCCTGACTGCATGTCCCTATCCCGCTTGGGACCTCCCCACTCTGCTCTGGGCCCTGACTCACCTTCCTCTGGGCCTGCTCGCTCACCCGCTGGAAGGAGTCCTCCAACTCCTTCTTCTCCCGCTCCACGTCACCTTGGGCCTGTCTCGCCACTGTCACCTGCTTGGTGACCTCTGCGTTCTGGGGACAGAGCATTCAAGCTGGTCAGCGCCAGCCTCCCACCCTGGCCCCAGCTTGCTCTCAGGGCAAAATCCTGGTGCTCCCACCCAGGCAGAGCAGCCGGGAACGCTCTAGAGAGTGTTTGTGGAGAGCATCTCCCCGCAGCAGCAGCCGGCCACAGGACGCCAGGCTGGGCGAGGCGGGCAGGAGCCTACCTTCCGCAGCAAGTCAGCATGGTTCTGCACCAGCTCACTGTACTTCTCCTTCAGCTTGGTGTATCGCTGCTCGTTCGCCTGTGCCTTCCCTGCCACACACACACACGCGCAGCAAGGTGAGCGCCCGGTGGCATCCTGGCCGCAGACCCCC